TTAGTGTTCTAAATGCATGACTGCTTAATTGTAAAGCATCAGGTGCCTCATAGCCCAGTTCATGTTCAGCCAGGGAGTGTTTCCAGCTTCTCTAAAGTGCTCCTCCCTTTTCACTATTTCCCTTCTTTCAAGCTCTGAATTCCGATTTTATTTTCTGGCTTGTGATGCTTGTTGATGGTAAGTATGATGGGAAAGAGATTTTTCAGGATTAATTACAGACTCCCATCTACATTCTCAGTACTGTGCATCTCCCTCTTTTTGAACACATAGCCTTCAATGAGTTACTACTTTCCATTTACAACCTGCAGCCTTATGATTGTATGACTGCTATTTCAAGAAGCACTTAATGATATGGTAAGTGAAGAATCATTGTAGTTTGTGGATGTAGGAAACATTTAGAGCAGTGCTAAGATGATGTGACTTTCTTCTCATGCTTTCTTTGACAACTGGATGTACTCCTAAGTGTGCATGAACTTTAGAGAGGGCATTCCAGACCTGTTGTAGCATTTACTTTAGATATCAAATACAAACACTTAGAAGAGGTAGCTGTTGCCAGAGATGATTTAAATTGATGAGGTTTGCATCCAAAATAAGATCATGCTCTTTGGCTGCATGGACAACCATGGGTAACATACCCAAGACTTATGATGTAAAAGCGATCTTATTTTTCAGAATCATTTAGGCTTGGAAACCAGTAAAAGTTGGTAGCAGCTTTGGTTCTGGTGAGGACGTGTCCTACAAATACAACGTTCACACTCTGTACTCAGCAAATCTACACATACAGATTAGAACATATGAATTTTTGGCCATGACCAATCCATCTTCACAGTACGAATTGAAATATCGGATTGGAAGCTTTCCCTTAAAGATCCTTGTGCCTTTCATGCAGTTTCAGTCCAAAAACTACCATATGCTCTGGCCTTGGTTTTTTTTCGCTATTGAGGAGATCAACAAAAACCCCCCTTTTACCCAACATGACCTTGGGATTTGGTCTCTATAATGTCATGCACAGTCATATGACGGTAATGGAGAACCCCTTCATCTGGCTTGTGGGACTGGAAAAGCAGTCCCTAATTATACAGTAAGAAACAGAGCAAGTCTGTTGCTGTAATATCAGAAAGCAGCATTGCTGTCCAAATGGGGACACTGCTGGAACTCTACAAAATTCCACAGGTGAGTGTGTAGTGAAAAAGTGGGATAAAGTACATCACCTTAGGTGCCTCACTTAGAACCAAAAATTTAAGGGACAGAGACCTTATACATTTGACACATTATGTGATCTGAAGAGAAGACATGCAGAGATTTTGTGGATTAGCCACATTTGTTCTGAAGCAGAGGTGTGGGTGAGTGAAAAGGAGAAATGTTTTTTTCAACCTGTGAGTCTAATGATTCATGAACTAGTAAGCTTTTATGTACTGGGACATGATAAAAATGAAATATTCTAAAATCTGACACTTCCATTATCTGCTTAATCTTTTCAGGAATAATGTTTTACACTATGACAATAAACTTACACAGATTTCTTGCCTTTTCCCTTAGCTGATTCTTGGGCCTTTTGAACCTCTTCTGAGTGACAGTGGTCAGTTTCCATCCCTCTATCAGATGGCACCCAAAGACACTTCTCTGGCCTGTGGCATGGCCTCCTTGATGCTCCACTTTGGGTGGACCTGGGTGGGTTTGACCATCTCAGACCTCCCAAAAGGTATTAATTTATTGACTGATTTGAAAGTAGAGTTGCAGAAGAATAGCATCTGTGTAGACTTTGTGGAATTGATCCCAGCCACTGTAGAGACACTTTCTTCATTACAAAATAGTGCTCATATCCAGATCCTAAAATCATCAGCAAATGTGGTGATTCTTTTCTGTGTCACAGAGTCACTCATAGGCGCCAGCTTTCAATCTTGGTGGAAGTTAATGACGTGGAAAGTATGGGTCACCACTTCACAATGGGATTTTGCCAGTTCTGAGAAACCTTTCCTGTTCCACTCATTCCATGGGACTCTCATTTTTTCAGACCACCATAGTGAGATCTCTGGTTTCAAAAACTTTCTTCAGACAGCTAACCCTTCCAAGTACCCAGAAGACTCTTACCTCTCCAAATTCTGGTCACTGGCTTTTAATTGCTCAGTTTCTGGGGCATCCTGTAAAACTTTGCAGAACTGTCCACTGAATGCTTCCTTGGATTCCTTGCCTCTGCATCATTTTGATATGACCATGAGTGATGGGTGTTACAACATCTACAATGCTGTGTATGCTGTGGCCCACAGTGTACATGAGATGCTTCTACAAGATGTAGAAATGCAGCCAGGGAACAAGGGGGCAAAGGTGGCATTTTCTCCCTGGCAGGTAACTTGGTTTCCATTGCATGACATGTATTCCTGAAGTTATCCCCTTAAGAGCTTTTGCAGGTGTTCAATCCAAGTAGCTTGGGAACCTTCTCCAAAACACAAGATAAACATGAGCCTCTGCCTGTAATTTGTCATTAACAAAAGGGCTCCAATGAAAAGTGGGAAGGTAATTTGGATAAGCATAAATGCTGTGACTTAAAAATACTCTCCAATTCTGCCAATTTAATTTTGACATGTGAAATACCTAGACTGTGTTATTCCATTTTCAACTTCAGCAGTACGGTAATTATTTTCAGGTTCAAATGTTACTGAGGATGTTCATCTACAATGAACATAAGGGATCTCATATAATTTGCACAGTTCTTTATTCTAGTAACTTTATTACAGATAGTTGTCCTAGGTACACTGAGGAAAAGAGTGTTGGTAGCTTCGAACGCACTGTTGGAAATGGTCTGAATCTCACAGCTAGACATTTTTTGACTCCTGCTAATACTAAGTCATAGAATAAATAAAGGGGAGAGTGATCCAACATGGGAAGGGAGATGCTCAGCAGACTCATAGAATGGTGGATGTTCTAAACAGCACTCTGGCCTCAGAATCAGCCCTAAAGGCATTCCGATCTGGCTGAAAAGCCCATGAGAGTATTTCAGGCATGGAAAGCCAAGACACTCTGGCAAAAAAAAAAAAAAAAAAAAAAAAAAAAAAAAAAAAAAAAAAAAAACTAAATGAAAGATCTCTGTGAGTAAGATCCCAGTGGAAAGAACAGGTCTTCAAAGAAGGAGGTACCTTTCTCTGAAGGGAGGAGAGAACCTCCACTTTGACTATGACCTTGTCTAAATAACATAAGAGTCTGAGAACTCAAGGGGCTTCCATAGCCTTGGAAACTCATGACTGGTGCATAGGGAGATTACTGATGCCATAAACAGGAGTGTCAATTTGTAAAGTTAACAACAGGAGTCACTGTGCACTTACTCCTCATGTAGGATCTCTGTCCTTAATGTGCTGTACATTGAGATTTAATGCTATAATGAGTACTCAAACAGTATATTTCACTTTGTGTTTCTATGGGGGTGCAAACTGTTGAAATCTTTACTTAATGTATACTAAACTGATCTTAAAAAACAAAAAAAGAAGAAGAAGAAATTATCAATTCCCAGCTTGACTCTCACTGGAATTAAACATGACAATAGGTCTGATCTGATTTCATCATCATTTAAAAAAATCATCTATTATTTTTCATTTCTGTTTCTGTGTGGGAGCAAACTATTGAAATCTTTACTTAATGTATGCTAAACTGATCTTCTGTATATAAAGAGAATTGAGAATGAATCTTGATGTGAATGGAAGGGGAGAGGGAGTGGGAAAGAGGAGGGTTGCGGGTGGGAGGGGGGGAAGCCATTGTAATCCATAAACCGTACTTTGTAAATTTATATTCATTAAATAAAAGTTAAAAAAAGAAGAAAAATGAGTGAAATCATACTTACCTTGATGTAGTTCTCATCAGGTTTTTTTTTTTTACTTCAATTCATTGGGTGGTCCTAAACAGGTTCTATTATTTATTTGTGATTACAGTCAAAGAGATGCTTTCTCTAACCTGGGTTTGGTGTTATAACTTGGTCAATCCTCATGAGAATATGATGTATTTTTTCAGTTGCACCCATTTCTGAAGAACCTCCAATTTACCAATCCAGCTGGTGACCTAGTGAATTTGAATCAGAAGAGAAATTTGGAAGCTGAATACGACATTCTCAACTTTTGGAATTTTCCATATGGTTTTGGACGTAAGGTTAAAGTAGGACGGTTTTCCCCATATGTTTCGCAGAGTGAACAGTTGTCTCTCTCTGAGAATTTGATAGAGTGGGCCACAGGAATTACAGAGGTAAGTTGGACTGATCATAAGTTTCACATGACACATTGTTACCCCCCAACTGCTAAGGGAGTATGTGCAGTATGGCTTATTCAAAAGACACTTAAAGACATTAAACCACTCCGCTTCCAATCCAAATACTTTCTTATGTTTTTAGTGTCTGAGGATGGACAGTACACACATTTGTTCTTGCAAGTCTTTTGAATCTATTTAAGAAAATCAAATAGAATGTTGTCATTGTGTCAGAAACAGATATTTACAGTTTAAGTGAACAGGTTTGCAGGACTTGAAAAACCTCTACTTGGAACTTAAGTAATAGTCTGAACTATGACCAACACTCATCTGATTTTTCACAGATTCCACGCTCAGTATGCAGTATGAGTTGCAGCCCTGGATTCAGGAAAACCCCTCTGGAGGGAAAGCCTGCCTGTTGTTTTGATTGCACACCTTGTTCTGAGAATGAGATTTCCAATCAGACAGGTAAGTCAGTGTCTGCCTCTTGGAGAAGTTACCACCTGTTTCTTAAATTATCAACTTATCCATGGAAAAAAAGTATGTGGAATATGACTGCTGAGAACAGTTTTTCCCCTTACAGTGGAAATTAATCCTTATAATCAATAATAATCCACAAAAGGATAAAACTTTCCACAATACACTCTCTGTATTATTTATGAAAGCATACAAAAGACTGAATGTCTCTGGAATGCTGACCATGTTGGAGTTCAGGCTGATATACATATGGTAAAAAATGAATAGAAACCAAGATTGGAGAATATTCACCCCATAAAACAGTGTGGCATTTCTAAGATTTATTGCATGAATCAGAACTATGCTATCACATGTATCATAAAGATTTTCCAGTTTTTGCTTGTGTTGTATGAGTAGTTATTTGTAGCATATATTTAGTATAATTCAAACTTTGTGTAACTTATTGTTGATAATGAAAGGTTCTGGCAACAGAGTACAGTCCATGGGAGTAGTGTGATGTATGTGCTAATTCAGTATAGGAAAACTCATGTCTGAGTTCCTTGTGCTTGTATAGGTAAAAGTGCTTTCACCAAATTCAAGTGTAGCATGCTTGGAGTGAGAAAGCACAACTCTAAACAAACTGTGTGTTATATGAAAAACTATCTTAGAAATCATACAGTATATCATCCTGAGGATGATACTCATCAAATATCATAAATGGGGCTGATCTTAGCCTTTGACAAAAGTCATTGCTGCTCAAAATATAAATCTTCAAGAACCTTCTTATGCTTACATATGTACACACATTTATAAAATTCATATCAAAAGACCACAAGCTGACATACATGGTAATAAGTATGCATAGTGGGCATGGCACTGTGGTACAGTGGGTTAAGCCATGGCCTGAAGCACCAGCATTCCATATGGGCACCGGTTCTAGTCCCAGCTGCTCCTCTTCTGATCCAGCTCTCTGCTGTGGCCTGGGATAGCAGTAGAAGATGGCCCAAGTCCTTGGGCAATGCACACACATGAGAGACTCCAAAGAATCTCCTGTCTTCAGATCAGCACAGCTCTGGCTGCTGCAGCCATCTGGGGAGTGAACCAGCAGATGGAAGACCTCACTCTGTCTCTACCTCCCTCTGTAACTCTGTCTTTAAAAAAATAAGTATGCATGGCAAGGTAGGTCAATGACTGCAAATTCAGCACAAGCCCTTGAAGGTAAAATGTGGACATTTTAAGGAAATTGAAGTAAGTAAAGATTGGAAGAATTTAAAGTTGGTGATCATAAACAAGAAAGATTTATGAACCTCAGCAAATGGAACAGTGCGAACAATAAGATTACTCTGTGTGTGTGTATACACAAAGAGAGCTGAAGAGGTCTATTTAGATATAAAAAATACTAATATTAGAGCTTATTAATCATTTAATTCTGATACATTGAAAAATATAGAAGAAATTCAGATATTTTCAGATAGAAATATTATGAAATATGTTGAGCAATATTTGAAAAATCCAAATATCCTCACAGTTATTAAAATAATTCCCAGTACTTGAATTGTGATAAACAATTTTCAGATGAACTCCTTTCTCAACTCCTATAGAGAACAGGAAAAATGGAAAAATTCTCTTTCTTCTATGGGAACATCTCAAGTTGATGGATCAAATACTGCCAGATATTTCAGCAAAATGCAATTGTAAGACACTGTTGTTGAAATAAATTCGTACATTTGAAATCTCAATGTAAATCCAACAGTGTTTTTAAATAGGCTACATCATGCCTAAAGAGTTTCATAAAATCTGATTCAGTTTTTAATACATGAAAAATGTAATAATAATTAGCATAACTGAGGAAAAATAGTTAATAAAATCTAAGTGATCTATGAATTGTAAACAAAGAACAAAACCACTCAAACATGACAAAAAGAAGGATTAGCTTTCAATCCTAAAGAGTATTTTAGAATGCTAAAAAACATGGAAATTACAGCTGAAGATTGGATACAAAGTTGATGAAAGAACGCAACTTCTACAAAAAAAAAAATACACAGGAGATTCAGCTCCATGCATATTGTCAAAAAAGAATGACATTTGGGTGGCCCCACAGCTCAATAGGCTAATCCTTTGCCTAGCAGTGCTGGCACACCGGGTTCTAGTCCCTGTCGGGGCACCGGTTTCTGTCCTGGTTGACCCTCTTCCAGGCCAGCTCTCTACTGTGGCCAGGGAGTGCAGTGGAGGATGGCCCAAGTGCTTGGGCCCTGCACTCCATGGGAGACCAGGATAAGCACCTGGCTCCTGCATTTGGATGAGTGCAGTGCACCGGCCACAGTGCGCCGGCGGCGGTGGCCAGTGGAGGGTGAACCAACAGCAAAGGAAGACCTTTCTCTCTGTGTCTCTCTCTCTCACTGTCCACTCTGTCTGTCAAAAAAAAAGTGATATTGGGATGGTGTAATGAAATCAGTGAATTGATAATTGGAATAAGTAGTACTGGTATACAAAACTGTACAAAGCAGTTAGTTTTCCTTACCGATTCTAGAAAACAAAGTTATGAAAGGTGGCACTTGTCTCAAAAGTATGAAATATCCAAAGGAAAGACTAACTAAATATTGGAAGAAATCTGCAAGTTGAGACATCAGTCTTCAATGGAACAATATATTGAACATAAGAGGATACAGACAGAGCTGGAAAGAAAATTCATGTTCAAGGATAAAAAGGAATGTGGAAATATGCCAGTAAGTTTCAAGCTGATCTACAGACTGACTTTGATTACAGGCAGCATCCTAGTGTGTTCCTTGATGAAAATGTTCAATGCTGGCAAATAATCCAGCTGTTATCAAGTGTACAGCTCTTCTGTGTTTCTCTAGAACTTGACCATTTGCCTTCTAATGGTGGTTTGTCAATCAGTATATTCCCCTATCATGACATAATCCAGATTCTACCTTAAAGAGGTATGTTTTAGTGAGATAACTGGTGAATTCTGTGCAACTCAAATTCACAAAGTATATCTCCCAGCCCATGATATTAATAGTGGGAACCCGGGGCCAGTGCTGTGGTATAGTAGGTTAAGCCTCTGGCTGGGATGCTAGCATCCCAGTTGGTCAGCGGTTTCAGCCCCAGCTGCTTTACTTCTAATGCAGCTCTCTCCTGATGCTTGGGAAAGCAGCAGAAGATGGCCCAAGTTTCAGAGCTCACACCAATACAGGAAGCACAGAAGAAGCACCCAGTTACTGGCTTCAAAACAGCCCAGTTCCAGCTGTTAATGTCTTTTGGGGTGTGAATCACTGGGGGAAGATCTGCCCCTCCTCTTTTTCCCTCTTTCCCTTTCTCCTTGTCCTTCTCTCCTTCATTCTCTCTCTCTCTCTCTCCATTCTGCTTCTCCTCCTCTTTCTGAAACTCTGACATTCATGTAAATTATAAATAAATGAATACTCATTAAAACAAAGACTGCAACCATTGGGTGGTTGAATAGGCCATGAGAGTACAGAGGGAATAGCACTATTACAAAAAGGGCTCATTTCAGGCATGGAAAGCCATGACTCTGCAGCAAAAAATAGACTACATGGTGGATCTCTGTGAGACCTCTGTTGAAAGAAAGGGTCATCAAACAGGGATGTACTCTTGTCTGAAGAGAGGAGAGAGCAACCAATTTGCATATGGCCCTGTCTAACTACCGATGGAGTCTCTGGTCACAAAAGGCTTACATAGCCTTGGCAGACCATGGCAAGAGACTCAGGTGATCACTGACATCATACATACATAAACATGTTAATTGTTAAAGTAACAACAGAGGTCACTGTGTACTTAGTCCCCTTGTAGGACCGCTGTCCCTAATGAGTTGTACTATGAGAATCAACTGCAAATTTTGTTCCTAAATGGTGCTCTGTTTGTGATCTGTGTGTGTGGATACCAACTGTTGAAATCTATGCTTAACATGGAGTTGGTCCTCTGTATTTAAAATCAAACTAAAAATGAACCATATGAAGTAGGAGATAGTATAAAAAGAGGGAAAAAGAGATGTGATGGGAGTTGGAGTGGGAGGGTGGGTATAGGGAAAAGAACCCCTATATTCCTAAAGGTGAATGTATGAAAAATGCAATCATTAAAGAAAAACTTAAAAACTGAGGGCTGCTGCTTGCTCTTGTTCCAAGTGAGCATGCAGCAGAATATGCCCTGTATAAGGGCAGAGTAGCCCTCACCACACATGGAACCCTCTGGCACCTTGATCATCAGTTTCCAATCCAAAGAAACAATGAAAAAGGAATTTGTGGTTTTAAAATAACACAGGCTAAGGTATGCTTTTAAAGCACCATGAATAGTTTCACAGAGTAGCCCTTAGGGCTTTGTTAGGAGAAAAAGAGCATGTACTCATCATTATGTAAGGTACTTAGGAAGATGAAGTATTAACTGGATAACATGAGGAAGATGGACATAAATAATTGCCAATAATTTTATATGTCATTGTATATGCTGTCTTTCACATCAAATAAGGACCATTTGCCTAAACTAGCTACGTTGGGCATTCTAGAAGGTACTTGTGAATCAGGAATAACTGAACTTGAGATGATGTTAATTACGTTTCTCACCAGATATGGACCAGTGTGTGAAGTGTCCAGATCTTCAGTATGCCAACACAGAGCGAGACCAGTGCTACCACAAAAGAGTGACCTTTCTGTCATTTGAAGATGCCCTGGGGATGATCCTGGTCTGCACAGCTCTGTGCTTCTCTGTCCTCACTGCTGTGGTTCTTGGGATCTTTGTGAAGCACCGAGACACTCCCATAGTCAAGGCAAACAATCGTTGTCTCAGCTACATCCTGCTCATTGCCCTCATCTTCTGCTTCCTTTGCTCCTTACTGTTCATTGGTCATCCCAACACAACCACCTGTGTCCTCCAGCAGACCACGTTTGGAGTGGTGTTCACCATGGCTGTTTCCACAGTCCTGGCCAAAACTATCACTGTGCTTCTGGCCTTCAAGGTCACTGCCCCAGGGAGAAGGATGAGACACTGGCTGA